ATATTCTCAGTACCTAGTATCATAACAAAATACCACAGACTGGATGGTTTCAACAACAGAAATTTATTTCCTCACAGTTCTGGAGACTAGAAGTCCAAGATCAAGGTGTTTGAAAAAATTTTTTTTCTGAGGCTTCTCTCTCTGGTTTGCAGGTGCCACCTTCTCACTATGTCTCCACGTAGTCTTTCCTCTACACACACGTGTCTGTGTTTTAATGTGTCTATAAGGACACCAGTCATCTTGGATTAGGGCCCACCCATATGACTTCATTTAACCTTAATTACCTCTTTAAGGGCCAGTCTCCAACTACAGTCACATTCTGACGTGCTAGGGGGTTAGAGCTTCAACATACACGTTTCAGAGAGCAAGCTTCAGCCCATAACAAAAGGCATTCAATAAACTTTTGCTGAATGAATGAAAAAGCTCTTGACCCACGTAACCATGTCAGGGGCTGCTGATCTTTGCTCGACTGCCCCTGTATTTGCAACCCCATTCTTTGGGGTTGTATCCATCACAGCCATTCAGCAAGCCGTGAGATGGACCAGTGACTCTTAGCCTATTTTGCAGACACCTTGGGAATATCATGAAAATCTCAAATTTTGCAAGAACTTTATGATCAGTTGCAATTTTTTTAAAAGATTTTATTTATTTATTTGATAGAGATCACAAGTAGAGAGGCAAGCAGGGAGAGAGGAGGAAGCGGCTCCACGCTGAGCAGAGAGCCCCAAGCGGGGGTCAATCCCAGGACACTGAGACCATGACCTGAGCAGAAAGCAGAGGCTTTAACCCACTGAGCCACCCAGGCACCCCTGATTAGTTGTAATTTAAAAGGGAGGAAACTGGTTTCGTAGTACCTTCCACTACCTAATGAATTTATGGAAATGATGGTACATTTGAACCTTGAATAACACTGGTTTGAACTACACAGATCCACTCATATACGGACTCTTTTTTTTTTTTTTTTTTTAAAGAATTGACAGCAAGATCCACAAGGCATTTATTTCCAATCCCCGCCCCAGTCTTCATGGGACCCAACAGAAGGCAACTGATGGAGGCGTCAAGGCTGCCGCCCTCTAAGTTCCCTCGGAAGGCCTCTGAGGCCATCAGCAGCCCCTGGAAGCCCCAGGACCGGGCAGAGCAGTAGGTTGCCCCGTGTGCCTATGGGGTGGTCAAGTTGAGTGCAGAGAGCTGGCAGGCAAGAGGGTGGGCTGAGGCAAAAGTGCAAAGGGCAGAGATGGCACTGCCTAGGGAGCCTTGATCCCTGAGTGCTCCGTGCCTTTTCTTCCCAAAAGTTCCCAGAGGCCAGTGAACTCACATGTGTCTGAAGCTGCCGATAGCCACGGGCCTATGGTACCCCTCCAGGCCACTGGGGCAGATGTACTGGACATCCTGGCCCTTGTCATAACCCATAGGCCCAACCTGGGGGCTGCCCTGCTAAACCAAGGCCTCCACCACTATACCCTGGCCAGGCCTGCCACAACCCTGTCCACTCCTGGCCTGGCCAGCCTATACTCAAGTTTTTTTTCAATGAATATATGTACAATACACTGTAAATTTTATTTTCTCTTATGATTTTCTAAGATTTTATTTATTTGAGAGTGAGAGAGAACATGAGCAGGGGGGAGGGGCAGAGGGAGAAGCAGACTCCCCGCTGAGCATGGAGCACAGGACCTTGGGATCATGACCTGAGCCAAAGGCAGAGGCTTAACGACTGAGCCACCCAGGTGCCCCTGTATTTCCTTTTCTATAAACTGAATGTTCACCTCTATTGCCAATTTTTGTTTTGGATCTTTGTGTCAGCTTGTCACTGCGAATGCTTTAATATTTAACAGGGATGGGCTCTATTTTTCCGGCCCTTGAATCTGGCTTGAGGTGTGAACTGTATACTAGTTCCAAGCCTGGCCTTTAAAAGGTACTGTTGGCTTCAGCCTTGGGTTTTGGAGGCCTGGGCCACCATTTAAGAAAGTATTCTAGGGGGGTGCCTGGGTGGCTCAGTGGGTTAAAGCCTCTGCCTTCGGCTCAGGTCATGATCCCAGGTCCTGGGATCAAGCCCCGCATCGGGCTCTCTACTCAGCAGGGAGCCTGCTTCCCTCTCTCTCTGCCTGCCTCTCTGCCTACCTCTGTGAAATAAATAAATAAAATCTTAAAAAAAAAGAAAGTATTCTAGGGGCACCTGGGTGGCTCAGTTGCTTAATCATTCAACTCTTGATTTCTACTCAGGTCATGATCTCAAGGTCATGAGATTGAGGCTCCATACTGGGTGTGAAGCCTGCTTAAGATTCTCTCTCCCTTTACCTCTGGCCCTCCCGCAACAGGCAAGTGCTCATGCTCTCTCTTAAAACGAAAAAAGAAACCAGGGCGCCTGGGTGGCTCAGTGGGTTGAAGCCTCTGCCTTCAGCTCAGGTCATGATCCTGGGGTCCTGGGATCCAGCCCTACATCGGGCTCTCTGCTCAGCGGGGAGCCTGCTTCCTCCTCTCTCTCTGCCTGCTTGAGATGTCTGTCAAATAAATAAATAAAATCTTTAAAAACAAAAACAAAAAAAGAAACCACCCTACTCTGCAAGAGAGATGAGGTGTGAGGCCCTAGGGCTGCACAGACATGGAGATGGACCCCAGTGAGGCCAGCTTTCCATACACGCGCCCCAAACCCTTAAATAGGCCTTCTGGAGGAAAAAAAAAAAAAAAAAAATGTCCATCTAAGCGCTGCCCAAATTCTTGACTCACAAAAATCATAAATTATAACAAAGTTATTGTTTTAAGCTACCAAGTTTTGAATTATTTCTTTCACAGCAATAGAGAACCAGAAAAGCGTTTTTTAAAACGCTCTTTATATACTAGTAAAATTACCCATTTGTCTTTGATGTGGTACAAACATACTTCTCCCTGATCTTTTGACTTTGCTTACTGTGGTGGTGTTTTAGTCACCCAAAACTTTATGTGATTTTTACATAATTGAATTTGTCACTTTCTCTTCTAAAAACCTGAGAGAGCATGCAATTGAGGACAAGATAACTAAGAAGAAGAAAGAGGCAATATCTATGATTAAACTAGATAAGCTTGCAAGAGGAAGCTGAAAACTAAAGAAAACTGAAAAATTCCCAAAGACTCAAAGGAAAATTTGAACAAATAGACATCAGGTAGTTAGTTTAAAAAAAACTGATTCTAAGTCGTTCTCAAGTTTAATGTAATCGCAGTAAAAATACCAAAAGGAGTCTTTTAATTAGATAAGATAATTTTAAAGTTTGTAAGAAAAATAAATAAGAACAGCTAAGAAAGTTCTATCGACTTCTAGTCCTGCCAAATAAGGAAATATTATACAGTACTTGTAACAGTGACCCTGGTCCATACACACAAAGATCAATTGAGCAAAATAGAAACTATACATATTTACATACACTTGGTATATTATAAATGTGGCATTTTAAATTAAATGGGGGAACAACAGATTTTTTTGTAATGGTAAAAGAAAAACTGGGTAGCCATCTAGATATTATAAAGTTGTATCAGTTCTTGGATAAACTGGGATAACATTTTAGATGGATCAAAGATTTAAATGTAAGAAAGCAAAATCACTTAGAAAAAATAGGGGAGCCTCTGTGGCTCAGCCAGTTAAGCATCCCACTCTTGATTTCTGCTCAGGTCATGTTCTCGGCTCAGGTCATGATCTCAGGGTCATGAGACAGACCCCTACATCGGTCTCTGTGCTCAGCCGGGATTCTGCTTGAGATTCTCTCTCTCCCTCCTCCTCCTCTCTCTTTCTAAAATAAATAAATCTTTAAAAAATAAAGGATAAAACAAATCTCCTGAGTTGTATAATCAGATGACTGGTTTATAGGGATCAATCCCCAAAAGTTTAGGAATCGTGACTTCAGAGACAGGAAAGTGCAAGAGTAGCTAAGCATCTCTGCATCTGAGATGAGACAAGTCTGAGAGTTTCTTCCAGTCATACCACGTTTGAATTCAACCAATGCCCTGTTTACTCTCTGGACAACATAACCCTCTATTGGGATTGGGGGAGGGGGAGGGCTTTTTTTTTTTTTAAACCAATAATTATCCCATGCGTTTTCTAGCTCAGCCTTAGTATCATCCTCAACAGAAGACCTCAGTTAAGCAACTTAGGATTCTGCCACTTGCCTACGTGGGGTCCCCTTGGAGAAATCCCTTCAACTCTGATTGTCAGTTTCTCCATCTGTAAAATGGGTTTTCCGGTCAAATACCATTTCTGCCAGGCCACAAGTCACTGACAAAACCTAACAGATTTCGGCTCCTCCCCTTCCAGCTGTGTTACCCTGGAAACGATGTGCTCCCACACGGAGGCCCTGCTGAGTCCACACACACGCTATTCCACCGACTCTCCAGCTCCGCGACGAAAGACAGGGTCATCTCCATCTTGGTGACAACGAAGCCGACACACAGCAAGGATGAGGAACTTACCCTTTGGTCACACACTGTCAGCGATCTTGATCTTGATCTTGATCGGGCCCAGCCATCAGACTTCAGGGCTTCCCCGCTAGCCTTGCCCTGTCGCCACCTTACAGTAACGCCCCCACAAAGGAGACGAGAGGGGAATTGATTACACTGCGAACCACAGCACCTGGCTTTTGAATTCGGATTGTTTGTGGCTGCGAGGACCAGATGTGGAGGCCCCCGGAGCTGGGGCTTCTCGCCGCCATACCCTCTAGACCGCGATGCGGCCCGTTGTGCCTAAATTCCAGGGAAACCGGCCTTGGGAAAAGCACTGGACCAACCCATCTCATCTCACACAAGGAAGTACAACTCTTAAGGCCGACACGGGAAACGGAGCCGCGGGAGCCTCCTCCCGGCTCCCTCCAGGTGGCGCTGTAGGACTGACTCACGTTCCAAAGTGCACAGCCCCCTTCTGGCTTGCCCCAGGGGATATAGAGCACAGAGAAAAGCAACACCCAAGCCTAGAGAGGCATTTCCCAGGAACCGCCCAGGTCGCCTCGCGGGCGCCATGCACTTCCGCTTCCGGTTCTTTATTCCGGAAGTTGCTTTCTGAGGTAGCGTGCGGTCTTTGTCGGCTTCCACCATGGCGTACCGTGGCCAGGGCCAAAAAGTACAGAAGGTGATGGTTCAGCCCATCGTATCCTACGCAGCATGTCAGGACTAGCAGGTTCGGGCCAGAAAGCGGGGGGCGAAGGAGCAGACCGAGAGCGGGCCTGGGGGAGCGGAGTGCGGCCCACATCCCATGAGCCCCCGGGGCGACCGTGACCGGGAGAAAGCGCGGGTAGTTGAATACCGGGTGGGAGGTGGGCTTGGGCCGACTCCTGTGGTGGGAAGTGCAGGAGTGGCGCGGACGAGCGAAAGGAAGGCAGCTTTAATTAGGAACTGAGTGAAGTGGGAGTCAGCGGTCTCGGAAACGAGGAAGATGCGGGCGCCAAGAAATGGCTGGGGAGTAAGAGAGTGGGCGGGAATTCCTTCAGAGCCTTTCGGGAACCCGTGACCAGTGCCCGGCTGGACGCTGTTCATTTCATGCGCACCAGATCTCGTGTTCAGAAAACAAAGGCGAGATGAGGGTAGGCTCGACCAGTATCGGGGAGCACCGTCTGCTCTGTGGGTGTGTTTTTTTCCTTAACCACTGGTGCAGAACCTCATCTTCAGATACTTGCAGAATGTACGTAAGTTATATGTTCTTTGTTGTTTTGTAATTACCTCTTTAAAAGGTGAATTTATTTGGCTGTGTGTGTCATCCTGTTTGCTCAGTGTGTTCTCGAGTTAAAAATCGGTGAAACTGGGGAGCGTGGCTGGCTCAGTCGGTAGAGCACGCGACTCGTGATCTTGGAGTCGTGAGTTCAAGCCCCACGTTGAGTGTAGAGATTACTCTAAAAAATCAGTATCAAGTGAAACTTGAGGTTGGAGGGGTGCTTGAGGGGAAGGGGCTCAGGGAAAGCTCTAATGTAATGAAATGCCAGCCCAAGCGTTGAAAGAATTGTGTCATCGTTACTTTGCAAGACCAAAATCGCTAATTTCAAAAAGTAGTTACTGGCAAACATGACTGGTGTTTGGGTACTGTTGTTGGTAGTCATTATGGCTAGAACACTGGAACCTCTCCCCTTTCTTTCCCCTGGGATGGAATATTGGAAGATTCCTGTGGACTTTAAACCACATAGAAAGGTTGGGGGGGGGGGTATGGTATATACTTAAATATAGAAAAGATGCCAAAAAAGGAAGAGAGGAGGGATAGGCTTGGAGGATATCAAGATGTAATTTCTGTTACTCTTGATAAATTTTAGTATGTGATAACGTAGTTGGAAACAGATTAATTTCAAGCTCTTGTATTTTTTTAAGTAATCTCTACACCCAACATGGGGCTCCAACCCACAACCCCAAGATCAAGAGTCACGGGCTTCACCAACCAAGCCAGCCAGTTGCCCCAGGCCATTATGTTTAATCACACCAGATCTGAGGGCCCTTCCCCAGGTTGTTAAATGTGAGGGAAGCTAGGAACCTAGAGAAAGCGGTTTTGAAACTGGATTTTGCTAAAGCAGAGAAGAAAGCCCTTGATTGTTGGAAATTACCGCGTTGTGCTACACTGTCAATATGCACTCTAAATGCATTGAGATGAGAAGCAGTAAGAAGTATGACTGAGTCCCAAGATGACAGGAAAATTATTAACTTAGTCCTACTATAGCATTTATTGAGAATGTTTCTTGGCAAGTAACTAGTCTTGGTTATCAGTTCTTGGATATGAACCAAGTAGTTAAAATTCTTGACTTTTACTTTTTAAGGTTTTCTTTAGGAGTCCTATTTCTCTATTGTTCGACCGGAGTGATTGGGTTTTATGTACTTGTTTTTTTAACGTACCTATTTTCATTTTTTCAGAGATCTCGAATTCAGGTGTGGCTTTATGAGCAAGTGAACATGCGGATAGAGGGCTGTATCATTGTGAGTACCCAGGATGTTTTCTCTCAGGGCAGTTTGTTCACAGAAAATGATTTCACAAAAAATGCCCAGCCAGAGCAGGGTACAAAACGTCAAAGATGCAACCCAAGCAGAGTTCTTCAGGGCCACTATTCTTGTCTCATTGTTCTATTTGATGGCTGTTGGGTTATTCATAAAAGAGGGAAAATTAATTTTTTAAAATTATTTAAATAACAATGTTAGTATTTTAAGGAGGGAACAAAAGAAAATTAGAGTCGGGTGAAAACTAATGGTATATTAGTTCTATATTAAGTGATACCTGAATAGAGCTGGGTGGGGTTAGTTAAATAAGAGTTTCAGGATAACAGAATATCCTAAATAATGTGGGGGGTGATTTATTTTAGAGAGAGAGGTGGGGAGGGGCAGAGAGAGAGGTACAGAGAATCTCAAGCAGACTTCCTGCTGAGTGTAGAGCCAGGCTCTGGGCCTGATCCCCGGACCATGAGATCATGACCAGAGCTGAAACCAAGAATCAGATGCCAACCAACTGCACCTCCCACAATCCCATCCCTAAATAATGTTTTTTGTTTTTTGGGTTTTTTTGTTTTTGTTTTTTTAAGATTTTGTATACTACTTTGAGAGAGCCACAGAACACGAGTGCGCAAGTGGGAGGAGGCGCAGAGGGAAAGGAAGAGGTAGACTCTCCTCTGAGCAGGGAGCCTAATATAGGACTTGATCCCAGGACACCGAGATCATGACCTGAGCCAAAGGCAGACACTTAACTGACTGAGCCACCTGGGTGCCCCTAAATAATGTTTTAAAGAAAAATAAAATATGTCTGAAAAGTTTTAGGATACTTTGATACCTTTAGATATTGTAGGTTCTATCAGTAATCTCCCCTGTTTATGGGGAAAAAAACATGTTATGGGTAATAGCAAGAGTGTTTTGTAAGGAGCATGGGAAGACTGGTGGCAGTGGAAGTTAATCCGCATGTATACACACATACCCTGTATTAGATAAGTTATGAAAGATAGGGACAGTGGGTCTTAGGCATAGCTAATCAGATCTTAAATCCAAAAGGCTCCAGAGGTAATTTGGAGTACATTTGGCTTTCTTGTTATTTAAAAAGGCTTTAGGAGGGAGATGGTATTTTAGCTAAAAGATTGGTGAAAGATGGGTTTCTTTTTTTTTTCCCCAAGATTTTATTTATTTATTTGACAGACAGAAATCACAAGTAGGCAGAGAGGCAGGCGGTGGAGGGGGAGTCAGGCTCCCCGCTGAGCAGAGAGCCCGATGCAGGGCTCGATCCCAGGACCCTAAGATCATGACCTGAGCCGAAGGTAGAGGCTTTAACCCACTGAGCCACCCAGGCGCCCCTGGAAGATGAGTTTCTGAAGTTAGTTGGCATTTCTGTATCTAGGTTGGTGTATTCATCTGGAGTGGTTTGGGTAGGATTTTATTTGAAAAATGACATTTAGTTGGCTTATTTTTCTAGGGTTTCGATGAGTACATGAACCTCGTATTAGATGATGCCGAAGAGATTCATTCTAAAACAAAATCAAGAAAACAACTGGGTAAGAGTATAGATGGCCTTTGGGAACTGTGGAAAGTTTTATTCAGTTGCAGAATTGAATGAGTTGCAACTCAGTCCATGTTTAAATTAAGTTTACATTTGAAAATTTACTGTGTGGGAGAGTAGTTCACTCTTGAAATTCTCTGCCACTTACTGCTAACCCCACTCCCATTTCTGCTTTTGTTTTTGCACTTAGCTCTCACCAAGGTCACCGAAGACAAATGATGTTAAATCTACTAACGGTCAATATTAGTCTTCCTCAAACTCTGAACAGCATTTGGCGCTGTTGGCCACTCCTACCTTAAAACACTTTGTTCCTTTGCTTCTGTGGTACTGTACTCAAATTTTCACTTTTCATTTCTGTTTATTCCTTTTCAGACTTGTGTATATTTGTTCTCTGGGACCCAGCCATTAAATGTTTTGAGTTGCTCAAGACTTAGTTGTAGGTCCTCTTGTCATTCCGTGTTACTTACCCAAGACTATATTTTCAATTACCATCTATATATTGACCTCAGATTTACCTCTGTAGCCCTAGACCTCTCTGAGCCTATTCAACATTTCTGCCTGAATGTTTCAAAGACTCCTCAAAGTTAGCGTGTCAGATTTCAAACTCACTTCCCTCCCCTTAACACACTCTTGGAGCTATTTTAGTGTTCCCTGTCTTTCTGAATGGTACCAGCCGCCATTCACTTCACTGATTGATTTTTTTATAACTACCTCATCCCCCTCCAGTTCGCTCTTCAAGCCGCAGTTATCTTTTAAAAGCACCAGTCTGACCTGGTCGTCCTTTTACTTGAAATCCTTCAGTGACTTCCTGTTGCTAGGAGGATAAGAAAATCTTTAATGTGTTCTGCAAGGTTCTTCATGATCTGGCCTTTTGCCCCCTGCTCGTTTTGTATCACTCCGCTTCATTTTTCTGAGTTTCATCCAGCTTGTGTTCTTTCATTTCTCTGAATGTGCACATTTGCCCCACTGTAAATCTTTGTCTGTGCTGTTGCCTCTGTCTTTAGATGTCAAATGTCAAATATCAAGAGTTTGGTTTTGTTTCACTGGGGTAGGGATGGGGGAGGCAAGATGTGTTGTGCTCTCTGAATGTGTAGTAGAACACTCATTAGTCGGGTTATTTTATTAATGTCTCTGTCACTGGGCCAGATGTTCTATAAGTCCTATCTTTTTTGATCCCTAATAAGACTACTGCTTGATTCAGTGCCTGCCATGTAGTAGAAACTCAGAAATATTTAAATAATGAAAGCAATTTCTTAACCCAGTTAACAAAAGATCTTTAGGATTCATGACTTTAAGACAAACTGAGTCCTTTCTTTTAAAAATCCTATTCATTTGGAGTTTATTTGGATACTTTGTTTTTAATTGTTTAATGCCCCAGTTCACAGCTTACTAGTCCTTATATCTGTGGTAGGTTTCAGGTGCCTCTTTTTCCCAAACCCTGAGGGTTCTCTTGATCCTAAAGTAGATATGAGGAAAGTAGAATCTTGAGAAGTGGCATGGTGTTTTGCTATGCTTCTTTCTCCTTGGGCTATTTTTGTGACAGCCTGGATTTTCACAATTAAACTTGTCTTGCCACGAAGGGCAAACTAGCCTTATTGACATTCTATTCTTTATAAATTAATTGGAGAGTTGAATTCCCATGGTAGTATTTATCCTACAGAATATATTAGTATTACCTGTTACAGAAGTTTTGGAAAGTGAAACCATTTAATCTTGGGGATTGATGAGCATTTTTCAGACTGATTTTACTCGACACCAATGTTCCCTGAAAATTTTTATAGACATTCTTAGGAAAAAACTATTCTTTGGTCAAGTAAGATTAAGAAATGGTGGGTAAAGCTCAAGCAGGTTTATTAATTGCAGGAATATACTAAGAACTCTAAAAATGGTGCTACTTTTCATAAAATATTTCTCTACCTTCATTAGGTTATTGCTAGAGAAGTTCATAGGCTCTAATATGCACAGCCTTTCAATATATGGATATTTGACATTTTTCACATACCTGCTCAAGAGAGAAAGCATTTTCAAAATTGTTTAAATACGATCCAAAATTCTGAGGCTAAATGATGGTGGTTACATGCTTGCTGAGTCACTAGTAATAGCTTTTTTTTTTTTCTTTTTTTTTTTTTAATTTTGTGTTGCAGGTCGGATCATGCTAAAAGGAGATAATATTACCCTGCTCCAAAGTGTCTCCAACTAGAAATGATCAATGAAGTGAGAAATGTTTGAGAAGGCCATGTAGTTTTGGGTTTTTTGAGATGTTCTTTGTTGGGGTGTATTTCTAAAACATTGTCGTATTGTTTTGATTATCTTTATGTTATTACCAGAGGACAATAAATGCTGTGGTATTGTTTTTATTTAAAAATTTACATTGTTTTCTTCTGTCCAGTGATAGAGACTTTTCACTCAGTGGGAGCTAAGTTTTCTGGAGGGTGGCCGTTGCCCCGGGCATTTGTTTTTTTCCAGAACTTGGATGTATAGATTCTTAAGGCAGAGAGTGGGAGTTCTACCTGACAGGTAAGCTCCTGACACTGGGTGGTAGGGAAGAGGAGGTTACTGCGCTAATGTGTATCTTCATCACATCACAGTCCTCATTCCGGCTGCTGGGACACAAGAGCTCCTGACCACAGTAGGCTGGGCATGCTGGAATGGCTTCCGTATCTGCGTAGCACTCTCATGGTCACTCTGTGAGGTCTCTGTGACTTCTTGTACCACTAAGATCACAATGTGAGAAGTGTTTGGGTATAAGAAAAGAATAAAGTGCCCTAAAAGTACATGTAAAATGAGTCTGTTAACAGTTACCAGGACAGAGACCTGGCAAGATCAGTAACCTGAAAAAGACCACAAGCCGTGCTGCTGAGTTGTGAGGCAGAATGATGGTGTGTTAGTTGGAGCAACACCTGCCTCTTACTCTTCTCTCTAAAGATGTTGGTGCCTCCCCCCTGGTAATTGCTTATGTCCAAATTGAATTACGTGGACAAATCTTTTACTCCCCCAGTACCTTAGGATGGTTCAAGTTTGGGTGCCTGCCTGGCTCAGTCAGTAGAACGTGTGGCTCTTGATCGTGGGGTCATGAGTTTGAGCCCCATGTTGGGTGTAGGGATTACTTAAAAAAACTTAAAGATCTCAGGGGATTTCTAGTTTGAATTCTGATAAGTGATTATGGAGCTTCTGCTGTTACACAGGTACCAAATCTAATGCAGTGAAACAGACTGCCAAACAAATAGCTTCAGTTCCGTGTGCTAAGTGCTATTTAAATTAGAACTTGGAAGGTGAATAAGGCCTGCCTTAGATTTTGGTGATGGGCATTCTTTTTTTTTTTTTTTTTTAATAAAGATTTTATTTATTTATTTGTCAGAGAGAGCACAGGCAGGCAGAGTGGCAGCAGAGGCAGAGGGAGAAGCAGGCTCCCTGCCGAGCAAGGAGCCTGATGCGGGACTCAATCCCAGGACGCTGGGATCATGACCTGAGCCGAAGGCAGCGGCTTAACCAACTGAGCCACCCAGGCGTCCCAGTGATGGGCATTCTTAAGGGTGGGTGAAGAGGGAACAAGAAGTCTAGTTCCTGCTTTTCCAAGAGCCTGTGAAGGAGATGGAGAACTTCCATTTAAACTAAGTAAAAGAAACCCTTCAAGAGCTAGAGCAGGTTTGTAGGTAAGTGTAGAAATTCATGCAGCTCAGAAGTTGGCATTCTAGCGGTTCCTCTACTATTTGAACCTGTGCTGTTTTGGGCACATTTTGAAATAAAGGGCTACTTTAGCTCTTTTAACATAGTTGAGTTTGAAATGCATTGAACCTGCGACAGCATGCAAAGAAAACCTTGGGCAGCAGAGGGAGTTGCAGCCCTGGGACTGCTTTAGTCTTTCTAGTAAAAGATTTTTCAGAGCAAAGACCTCCCTGCAGTTTTCTTGGCACCAAAATAGCTGGGAAGAAGGATAAAAGCTGGAGCAGTATAATCCCTAAGAAAACCTGCTGGCTGCTTTTCCATTTCCCTGTGTGGCCTTTCTGACCTGGTTGCCCTGTGTAAGCAAAGCTGTGCCTGCTGTGGCTTATTCTGAATGGATCAAGACATGGAAGGTTCTATTTTTGACAGAGCAAACGATGATAGAAATAAGGTACCACTGAACTCTTACAATTGAGCTCTGTATTTAGAAATCTCTGCTTGCTTTCCTGCCTTACTGGAGCCTGTGGTGTTTGCTTTTTAAGTTGTACTTTTCCACAATCTGTAGATCTTTTTTCCAACCAGAATTTGTATTATAGGAGGCGTTGCTCTCTGCTTCATTAAGGTTATTAAAACATGCTGCTGGGAAGCTGCTCTTGTTGGCAGCCCTTGGTATGTGAGCAATTATTTTTCTGGAATGGCTCTTGGTTTCTGAGGGGGTCTTGCTAACCACCCACTAACTCTTGTAACATTCTTGAAGTGGGGGTGGAAGGAGAATAAGGCTCTGAAAAAGTTAAGTACTGTTGCAGGCCTTGTGTTTTATTAGTAGTAGGTAGGGGAGAAGAAGGGTAAAAATAGTTTGAAAACCCTGGGATTTTTGTATTTGCAGGCACTAGCTATTGTCATTGTATCAGGTTTGTCAGTTCCAGGATTAGAGAGTGGATCTTTGTCTAATTTGGATTTAGGCATTATTGGCTAGTGTGTGTCATGGGCAGTTCCTGGGGTAAGCCTAATGGCAGCATCTCCTGTTAACTGCATGACACCAAGAGTTTCTCCGTAATTACTCTTTTGGAACTAATCATAACCTACTCATGGTGTGCTTTTGTGAGGAGATATGGGTGGTAACTTTTTTTTAAAGTGGCATTAGGACTTAAGTCTATTGTACCTAGAGTTTAATTTAAATTTTATCCACTAAATTTTTTAAAAATTGACTTAAAAAATCCTAGCTTGGTGTATGCTTTCTTTCCCTTTTTTTTTTTTTTAAGATTTATTTGAGAGAAAGAATAAAAATGGGAAGAGAGGGGAGGGAGAGAGAATCTCAAACAGACTCCCCACTGAGTGTGGAGCCAACCCGGGAGATCCTGACCTGAGCCAAAATCTTGAGTCAGACGCCTTAACTGACTGAGCCACCCAGGCGCCCCCGCTTAGAGCATATCTATAATTAAAATGCTAGTAGGACAGAAAGGTACGAAGTAAAAAAAAAGTCTTTCCCTTTCCCATTAGTATTCTCCATACATAACTACTATTAGGAGTTAGGTGGTTATTTCTAAGCTCTTTACAGGTACATATAATTTGGTTTGTTTATCAATTTGATATTTTTATTTAAAATTTTTAAAATTTCAGTTTTTGGTAAAATCGTACAGCTCAGTAATGTTAAGTACATTCACATTGTTGTGTAAACATTCGCGTTGTTGTACTAGTATCTCTTGCACTTTTTTATCTTGCAAAATTGAAACTACCCATTCAACAACTTCCATCCCTGCCCCTCCCCAACCCCTTGCAAACATATTCTGTTTTCTGTTCCTGTGAATTGGACTGATCCAGATACCTCCTAGAAATGGAGTCGGTAGTATTTGTCTTTGTGATGGGCTGTTTTCACTTCGCATAATGTTCTTGAGGTCCATCCATGTAGTAGACTGTGTTATAATTTCCTTCCTCTCTTTTTAAGGCCGAATAATATTTTATTATATGTTTATACACCACATTTTGTTTTAGCATTGAACTGTTAGTAAATATTTGGGTTACTTTCACCTTTTGGCTGTCCTGAGTAATGCTACACTTGAAGAGCCTGTTGGCGGTTCTTTTGAGTATATCCCCAAATGGTTTTTGTTTTGTTTTGTTTTGTTTTGTTTTGTTTTGAAGAGGTCGGGAATGTGTAGAGGGAGAAAGAGAATCTGAAGCAGGTTCTAGGCCCAGTGCGGAGCCAGACATGGCGCTCAGTCTCACACCCCTGAGACCACGACCTGAGCAGAAAGAACTCAGACGCTTAACTGGAGCCACCAGGCACCAGACCCAAAACGGTTTTTCTTGAGGAACGGTCTTAGCGTTACTATTAACCTTTTTTTTTTTTTTTTTTTTTGAGAGCCTATACCCGAAGTCTTTTTGAAGAACCATCATTGAGTTTGCACAGCAGCTACACCATTTTACATTCTCATCAGTAGTGCGCAAGGCTTCCAGTTTCTCTATGTCTTTGGCAAAACTTACTTTCTACTTTTGATAGCTATCTCAGTGGTTGTGAGGTGATCCCTCATTGTGGTTTTAATTTGCATTTCCATAATGACTGGTGGTGCTAGCCTCTCGGTGTTTATTGGTCATTTATCTTCTTTGAAGAAATGTCTTTTGTAAGTCCTTTGCCCATTTTTAAACAGGTTACTTTTTGGTTGTTGAGCTGAAAGAGTTCTTTACATAGTCTGGATATTAACCCCTTATCAGATAAACAATTCATAAATATCTTCTCCCATTCTGTAGGTTGTTTTTTTGCTCTGTTGATTGTTTTGATGGACATCCATTTTTAATTTTGATGTAACCTAGCTTATCTATTTTTACTTTTGTTGCCTGTGCTTTTGGTGTCATAGGTAAGTTTTACTTATTTTTGTATGTATACTCCCTGAAGCTTGACTCTTACAACAAAACTTGGACATATTTCTGTGTTAAACAGCTGTGATGTATTACATTGATGGGCCTCTCAATTTAAGAAATCACCTG